ATAATCAGAATACTTGGTATTGTGCTACTAAGAATACGTGGTATTTTGATTATCAAAATAAGTATACTGATTATCACAATACCTAGGTATACTGATTATCAGTATACCAATATAACAGACTATTAGATGTTTATAACCTCACTTTACTGGCACAAATCAATTGACTTATAAAGCTAACAAAACAAATTAAAATTAAAATTAAAAGTGTAATAATAAATTTTTTTCAAGCTAATATAATAAATATTAGTTGAATTCTATTTTTACCAGTGCATAAATCAAATAAACTGACTGTTAGTGTTGAAACGTTGATGGCAGTGACAGCGCATATATTATAGTTTACTGCGCAGAGTATAGGTCTTGAATTGACTTGTATTCTGATAATCAGAATACTTGGTATTTTGATTATCAAAATACCAAGTATTGTGATAATCAAAATACTTTTTTCTTAGTGTGTGAATTTGACCGTTTAGTAGGCATCTTAAATAAGTAGCCTGTCCTTGAAAAAGCATTGTACTAAAAAACTTGTATCAACAAGTAAATTATGAGAAAATCGTGACACATATAGCTACAATGATATAAATCAAAACAGATTTACGCACTTTCTGTTGTTATTCAGTTATTTATTACTGATGTTTAACAAAAAATGTTAAAACATCAGTAATAGTTCAAAAACTATTTGTTTGAGTAATAATTCTTCATTAATAATCATTTACACACATAATTATAATTTATTGATTATGCGTCTTCCATACGAATCTGTTTCAAGTCAATGACGTCAAATCATTAGGAGAATACCAAAGGATCTATCAAATTTATAAAATTATATAAAAATATTTCATGTTTTATGTCAATAGTATGTTCATCATAAGTTAATATTTATCGAATAATATTTATGGTCAAAATTATGATTAATGACTTTTTTTGAAAAATTATGATTTATATATTTGGTGACAAAAAACTACACAAAAAAATTTACTGAAGATTACTTCAGTATAGTTTTTATTATTGCATAATTATTATAATTCATTATTATATATAATTATTATTATGCATTATGAGTCTATATTGAGACAATTTTTTAACACACAGAGGGCCTTCAACAGCATCAAGGAGTGAAATTCGTTTTGTTTTTTTTTTTTTGTCGAGCACATCAATTACGTGCAAATCGAAGTATCTTCAACAATGGTGGATTCACTTACAAACATACTAAGCCGCGGAGTAGCATTTATTAATTTCCCTGACAAAGATCTAAAGAACGGTTTATTCTGATAAGCGGGATGATTGACCCGATAATAGCCTTCTAATCCTTCTCTAAAAGTCATAAGTTCAAATATTTTAGTTACGGTTGATTTTAGATTTATGAACATAGAACCAAATTTAACTTAAAAAATATCAATTCGCTTTGATGAACAGCTTGACCAAGCCAATGATTCGTAAATTTTTTGAAAAATATCATTTTCGTGTCGTTTTGAGCTCTCTGAGTTCAAAAGTCTGATAGACGTTTAATAAAACACTATTTTTTTGAATTTTCAAACCGCAATAACTTTTAAATGAATTAACCGATTCTCACGCGGTTAGGGGCATTCGATGCAGTTTTTGAAGCCCTATAAAGAATCTTGAAGTTTAAATTGATCGAACTAGGGATTTCGAAGTAATTCCGAAAAAACACTTTTTTCGGTATTCTTTCGACAACGATAACTCACGAACGATTTAACCGATTCTGACCGGGCTGGTAGTGATCGACGTGGTTTTTTGATGTTACGAGCTGGTTAGTTTTTGGAATCGATCGGTGGAGCCATTTAAAAGTTATTTCAAAAAAACAAAATTTAAAAAAGTTTGGAAAATCCAAAAGTGCACGCCTCATAACGCTCATTCATTTAAAAAAAAAAAAATAAATTGTGTAATTGATTAAAAAAAAAAAAAAAAAAACATTATAATTAAGTAATTTCTTACGGAGTATTTTTTTTTTTTAAATATCAGCGCCCTTTTTTCTTGTCATATGCGCACGCAGTTTAAAAAAATCTAGCTTGATCAAGTGGCGCCATAGTTTTCACGTGACAAATAAGAAAAATTCGTTTGTCTTTGCACGGTTGTATCGTAGTGAATTTTAATAAAAATTCAATTAAAAAAAAAATACGTAAACTAGGCTACTGATATGAAATACGGACCCAGTTCATTGCATTCTTGAACTAATAAAAAAGGTCCGGTCTTAAAATATCAATTTGTTCGGGAGTAATCGTTGGTACATCCAAAATGGGGTGACATCCGGACGTACACGTAAATTTTTTTTTAAAACGTTTTTTTTATCAAAATACCTACATGAAATGATTTTAGAAAATAAAAGATGGTTTAATCTAAGTGTTTTCTCGGTGTACATCTACTAAGATTATTGTATAAATGTAATAATATGGTTGTGATAGAGACATTTAAAGATCACAAAATTGCTTGATCTTAACGAGTCGAGTATAAAGCACAACCTCACGCGCTTCGCGCTATGAGGCATGCAATAAAATTAGAAAATCAGTTAACAATTATGAAAATATATCAATAACACCGGCACACAAAAAAAATTAAGTAGAATGTGCATTTGACCGGACCTACCTACGGGTACGTATTTTGGTCCGCTGAATCAATTATTTTTTGTAGTTTTTTTGAGATTTCTCAAAATTCACCAGTTCGAATCGGTCCAAACTGGTTTTTGACCTTGATTCCACTTCTAAATTGATAAGAAATCGATATGATTACTATTCACCGAAGTCATTTCTTAAGAAAATGAATAAATTTTCCAAATCTATTAAAATAATAACTAGAGCATTCCTGGCGACATTACTGTTACCTTGACAGACAATTTAGATAGACATTCAGAAAGTTCGTCATGGTAGAAAGTTATTTACATGGGGTTATCGTCCTGGCTTTGTTGTATGTCGCCTCCCACATATGTAGTCGGGTTGTCACTCAGAAGACTTAAACGTATCGAACCTTCTGTGGATTCATCAGAAGAGTAGAGACAGTGAAGAAGAAGATACCGAG